TTTTTGAATAGATATGTAGCCCAAGGTGGTCTTTATCCTTATGGCGAATATAAAGCCAAAATAAATTCAGTAACCCATTCACAATCGCATTTGTTTTTCTGCGGGAAAATTTTTTCTCCCAAAATTACCAATCTTACATGGAAAAGCTCTAAAAATGAATGGTTGTTTACAATTCATTTGTGATGTTCAGCATCGCGCGGTGAGTTTCAAAGTCATTACTATGTGATCACGAAGAAGGCACGGATAGTAGAGCCAGTGCGAACCTCTGCGAAGCAGAGGTGATGCACTGGTGTAACATAAGAGCAGCAGAAATTATAGCGGATCAAACGTCTCAAATTTTTTTGTTCTTTTGACTTTATTGAGATATGGACTGAAGTACGGAGACAGTTCCTGTTTGTTCTATGGATGAATTTCAAAAAAAAAGCTGACAGGTATATAATTAAAATTCCACTATACAATAAGTCACGACTTTTTCATTGTCTCTAAGCTTTATCTACACGGTATTTTGCATTGTGGAGGAAGTTCACGTCGGTTGCTGAGACGGTATTTCTGTTGTCAACGACAGCAAAGTTGGTGAATTTATATCGCAAATTATAATAATATTCATTTTAAACTCGAACAGCAAATGTCCAGGAATCCATAATGGCAGTGAGGAAGAGCAAGTGTCCAACGAAAAGGATAACTGACATCCGTTCAAAGTCCGTAAGACTACAATGCGATACCATCAACTACAGAGAGTATGCGTGCAGGAAATCGCAAAGATCTATTACGAATCTGATTTGGAGCGGGTTTTGTGAAGAAATAACAAGACATAAAGCAGTTCTCACTGCCTCCTCTTCTACCATACGTGCAAACATATTAGGTTGTCCCATAAGTTTTTTCATATTCGGACCTTTAATTCGATTTTTCTCAGGAACTACAGCACCTAGTAGGCTGCAAATTTTTGGCAGTAATTCTAAGCGAATAAGCTATATAATCACCTACTTGCGGGGAATACAGAAGTGATACAGGCAAAGTTTGAAAATTGAGCGCATTATTTTTTTCATGGTTTCTAGCCATCAGAAAAATACAGCAAGTGCATTTATAAATATCCGATGAGGAGAGTATATGCATGAAAAATTAGGAAATTTGCAGAGCTGTTTTGAACTGAGATATGATGATTTTCGTTTTTTCGAAAAATCGGAAAAAATTTTTATTTTGGCTTGGAGCATGTTGCGGATTGGACTTGGTGCTAACTTTTTAACGCCATCTTGTAGAGCTTACTTTGATCTGTCGAATGGCACCCTGCAATTCATCAGGAGTACAAGAAGAACTGATTTATGTCGTTGAAAAGTCAGGTATGAAAAGACTTATGGGACAACCCAATACTTACTTGTTACTTTGAAAAACGACCATTTCACAACGTTCTTAGCGCATTGCAATAATCCAGTTTGTAGAGAAGCCAATCATCGAGGACATTTGAGTCTTGCATGCGATTTAGGACACTCCGAATACGTAGCGGCAACCCGCGACATGTATGCCTTTCTCTCATAACGCACACTTATCGGCAGACATGATTCACTTGCATGGATGCTGACTACAATCGTCCTAGAAAGTGCCTTGTGATTCAGTACCCAGGATCAGGACGCCAAAGTCGGCAACATGATTTATCTGAGATCCACATTAACACGCAACGCCATATTGTTACGTGTGCGGCAAAGGAGTCATTTTTCCATATTCCATGGTGAAGATTTCAAAAAGAGCTTACAGCAACCCTAAATCACAAATTTTTCACAGTTCTCCGCACCAAGCTTTTTTCCGCTTATGTAGCAAATTTGGAATCATGTCGTTATGGGTATGCAATGCACGAGGCATTTGTTTACCTTTAAACCAATGAAACGCGGCTTTTTGAAGGCAATGCCTTGAGCATGATCGTGTTCACGCATTTCAACTTGCTGAGGAGGTACGGATGTTGAGCGTATAAACGAGTATTTACAATATCCCCTTAGCTTTTTCATCAAGATCCAACTTGACATTTGCACCCGCGTGCCGAACCACTTTGTATGAGCTTGCACACTCCGCAACCAACTACACCCTGCTAGTAGATCTTTAGTAAAAGCTTTTCTGGAGGGATAAAGCGCGGAGTGTACGTACTACTTCCATATACAAATTAACAAAATAGCCAGATAAAGAAGAACTTGAGATTACCAGGTCTTTGCGCTATGAGTCGTTAAGAAGCGCGAATGGTGTGCAACACCCTTATTGAATTAGAAATGGCTCGACGATGTATCGTCGAGTCATCCCTAACTTAATATGTGTAGTACACACTATACACGTTAACTCCCGAACCGCAAAACTAGAACCTGCTCATTCCCAGTAACTTCTCCTTGTTTCCTTGTCTCTTTTGTTCTTGTTGGTTATATGTTAGTTGACAGGACACATTCCTACATTTTGTTAGGCTAGAAAATGTTGCACTGGAAAGTTACTGGTAGTGGTGACGTCGCTAATAGGGCTTAGTGTGCAATCTCACACATTAAGTTACAAATGATTCGAGGTTATCTGATTAGCTGGCATACTTGCCCTGCCAAAGCACTATGACGAAGGTCACCATCCCTATTCCTGTACAACCTTTCCTTTGCCAAATTCCATGCCAGTTCCCTATTATCGCTTTATTTTCGTACTGCATGTCCACTTATACCCCTGTGCCAACTCCCAGAATAGAAGCTCGAACATGGCAAATATTGATAGAATGAAAGTAAGGGTTGATTCCTAAAACTAGTATTGTGCTCGTGATCAGCATCACTTACCTCCTGAGGCAGTTTTCAGCCTCGCAGCTCAAATTTTGCAAAAATTGATAAAATTGATATCGATCAATAACGAAATGCAGCCTACGACACACTCCCCGCCCCAAAATGTGTAGGAAGTGTGTAGTTCGGATTGGTTTAGACGTGAAATATTCCGCGTGTACTATACACCACAGACAGAGAGACAGACAAACAAGCATTCAGCTTCATAAACTTTGATTCAACGAGATTTTCGGCTGAAAAGCGACCGCTCGCGCCCGCGACGCTCGAGGCCTGCTCTCTGCTCGTTCTCTATTGATTATTTCACGAGGCCCCGCCTTCTCGCCGCCAATTTAGGGAATCAAAGGGAGTATAGGATCAGGAGGGAGAGGGGGAAGGGGGAGGGGGGAAGGAAGGGAGAGGTCATGAAAATCCTTCCATTTCTGCTACCTAGCTGGCAGATATTTGGTGAAGCAAGACATCGAGCACGTCATGCACATCCGAGACGCAGACGGCAATTTCCTGACGAAGCCGACGGCAATACTCAAGCAATGAGCGAATACTGCGAAGGTCAAGGCAATGAGGAGTTCCCGCACCTGCCATTATTTGCAATTTTTCAAAATATCCACTCGACTGATAAAGCAATTCTGATTAGACTCTATAACGCATATGTGATCCTCATTTGGAATATTGCTCACAGGCCTGGAGTCCAACGCTCAAAAAAGATATTTTAAAAATTGAAAATGGTCAACGAATTTTCACACGTATGCTAATAATATCTCAGGAAACCTCCTATAAGACATTGCCTGATTATAAAGAACGTCTCAAGATAACAGGATTGAAATGCTAAGATGCAGGATTATGGCTGATTTGACCTTCTGCTTTCGAGTTTTGCGCAAGGAAATTGACCTTCGGGCCAGCAGCTTCTGGGTGTCCAGACCAGTAAGCTGCAGACTTGGAGGTTTCAATCTCCATAATCTTAGACCCAAAAAATGTTTTTATGCAAGACTCTTCAACTGCCTTTTTTATCGCTGTGCTCGGTGGTTTCGCAGATAACCTGCAAACCTCCTAGGTGCTAAAACAAGCCACTCATTCACCTTTGTCAGATATTGGCCCGTAGTAAAGCTGCTTCAGTCGATCTCAACTGAATAAAATTTCAGTTGAGGTTTCGACGAGTCAGCTTGCCTTCAGTCGAGCCATTGATTGATATTGCCAACCACCCACGATGATAAGATTGAGAGCGCCACGTCTATGCAAGTATATAAGTTAGAGCGCGTTCATCAAACATTCGTATCTTTGACAGCAGAGGTGTGGCCGCACTTGTCAGATCTTGTTGAAGGAGAATGATCGAACGTCCCGCCACCTTGAACGAACTCTTCTCAGCCCTTGACGTGTTTTTACGTGACAAACACAATCGAACGCATAGTGTCTACCTGTTAATGCTTGCTTTCGACAAAAATTGCAATAGAAGCACTCGTCTAGGCTTCTCACAAAATCGTCTCAAAATGGTTTTTTTGAGGAATTCACGCATTTCGACTGCCATATTTGGAATCAGCGTCATGATGAGGCTTGGGTAAGGCAAAAAAAGAGAAGTCGAGATTCTGCCTGGAGGCTGCCATTAACGAAGGCATCTCCTTTTGGCGCACCAGCGGCGTACTACTATTCTGCCAGCAGAGTTCCACAGGGTACGAGCGGCGTGTGGCTACCCTACCAACGGCGTTTGGGTGCTCTGCTCAGATGACCATCGAACGCCGCTGGTACGCAACAAAATTAAGAAGTGTGTGCTGTAGCGCACTTTAACGGCAGTCGGGTGGGCGCACCTCGGAGTTGAAAAGACTTACAACTTCTGCTTAAAAAAAGGAAAATTAAAATAGCAATCGAAAAAGAAACGGATGGCAATGGTGGCGGATCGAAGGGAGCGAGACGAAGGGCCGCGCGAACTGAAAGTTACCTGCATGAGCGAAAACTCTCTTTTCAAAAGTTTATGGCATATTCGAGACATTATTCCATAATTTTTTGTTGCACGTGCACACATTTCGGCAACAAATCAATCGATTTTTAGGAACTTTGTGTCAAGTTAGTTGAGACGATATTTGGGGATAAAACTGGGTCGAAAGATATTCATGCTATACGTGAGATACGAAGAGATAGAATGTTTACCCATAAAACTTGACTTTGAGATTGACAACATGAAACCCATCAATTTCTTTTGTCCACTTAGAGCAACTTGTTCAAGCATTACGCAGAGGTGTACTTTGGTGCACGCTTCTCAGCAAATGCGTTCATGCCTTCTTTGCGATCGTTCTAAAGATTTGAGATTGATGTCTTGCAACAATGACAGTGAAATGGGAAAAACTCACTGTAGCGAAGATAGTATGGCAAAGCCGCCGCTCATATCGCAAGCCCTCCTTCAGTGTCGTTTCATATGCATTGCTCACAGCCTCCTCAAAAACAGATTTGCTGCGAGAGGCAGACTTCCAAATTAGAGGAAACAGTAAAGATTATTATCTTACCTTCACCATTTGCGCAATCAGCGGTGACTGTTCAAAAGTTTTCTCTCCTATTTTCACAGCTTCATTCACGACTTGTTCAGCCGGGAGCACCTAAACAGATACAGTCGAGTAGATTTTCCGCTCAATATAGTGTGGTTGCACTGAATGTGAAATGCGGTAAAATTCGAGCGTGAATAGGTAGCCACGCCAGTAATGAACATTTTGCGCGCGCAAATGGCCGGCGTCACGGGCGCAGCTACTTCTTTACGCGCAAATTTTACTGCATTCACCTATAGTGCAAGCACACTATACTAAGCGAAAAATCTACTCGACCGTGAGGTGACTTCAACTCATTTTATAGAAAAATCATGACATAGAACAAAGTCACTTTATTAGTAAGACCCAGAAAAACTAGATTTATAAAAAGTGGTAAGGGAGTATCACCCAAGCTGAGCGTTTGACACTAACCGCGATTGCTGACTCCTTTGCATTAACGTCTAGCTTATCGCGAATTTGCTGAGAGGGAAAACACAATGACTTGCACAAGCCGATCATGGCTACACTACTCGCTCCGGTGGTTTCCGGCAGTCTTTCGAGATGTGACGCGTAATCGTGTGTTTGACTAATGTAACCACACAGCTATCTCGTGCAAAACCACATAGCCGGAAAGATGGGGTAGGGGACTATATGGTGTCGATAGGCTCCACCGCCAGGATAGCTAGTCCAAATCCATACAATCTGTATACTAACGTTATGCATGACGTGATCTGTTGTTGATGTCCGCTTGGGACCATCTCTTTTCGGCGACATATGGTCCTCCACCCAGAAATATGTTATACTAGCTGGCTTACCCGGCTCCGCCGTATCCGGACCAAACTTGGCACACATACACCTCGGACCCCGGCGGGTGTCACAGTCCACTTTTCGTTATCGATCGATGTCGATTTTACCGATTTTTATCGATTTTTTTGCAGAGTTCACTTACAGGGCTAGGAGTTGGCACAGGGGGGAAGTGAGCATGGGGATTCCGAATACAATATTAGTTTTCAGAATTATCGATTACTTTTATTGGTTTTACCGATTTTTTGTAAATTTTGACATGCGAGGCTGGGATTTTGCACAGGGGGTAATCGAGCATGCTGATTACGAACACAATATTAGTTTTCAGAATCGTCCATTACTTTTATCGATTTTATCGATTTTTTTGTAAAGTTTGACCTGCGGGGCTGGGAGTTTGCACAGGGGGTAATCGAGCATGCAGATTACGAATACAATATTAGTTTTCAAGATCGTCCATTACTTTTATCGATTTTATCGATTTTTTGAAATTTTGAGCTAGGGGGCTGGAATTTGGCACAGGGGTGTAATCGAGCATGCTGATCACCCCCCTTGGGGATGATCAGCATGCTCGATTACCCCCCTGTGCCAACTCCCAGCCCCCTAGCTCAAACTTTGCAAAAAAATCGATAAAATCGATAAAAGTAATCGATAATCCCGAAAACCAATATTGTATTCGGAATCCCCATGCTCGATTACCCCCCTGTGCGAACTCCCAGCCCCGTAGCTCAAACTTTGCAAAAAATCGATAAAATCGATAAAAGTAATCGATAATCCTGAAAACCAATATTGTATTCGGAATCCCCATGCTCGATTACCCCCCTGTGCCAACTCCCAGCCCCGTAGCTCAAACTTTGCAAAAAAATCGATAAAATCGATAAAAGTAATCGATAATCCTGAAAACCAATATTGTATTCGGAATCCCCATGCTCGATTACCCCCCTGTGCCAACTCCCAGCCCCGTAGGTGAACTCAGCAAAAAAATCGATAAATATCGATAAAATCGATATCGATCGATGACGAAAAGTAGCCTATGACACCCGCCGGGGCCCGAAGTGTATGTGTGCCAAGTTTGGTCCGGATCGGTTCAGAAATGGAATTTTCTATTCGGAACATACGTACATACATACATACATACATACAGACAGACATACAGACAAACAGACATTCAGCTTTATATATAAGATCACAGTTTGTGGAGATCTCCACTAGCGTATAAGCCGACGGGGTAGGGGAACGAAAACCGCCAGTTTGAGCAGCCTTCCGCGGCCAACTGGTCCTTTGCCAGTGTCACTGCATGTCGCTCCAGAGCCATAGTTCGCGGAGGCGTTCAAGCTGGCGGTCGTTCCCCTACCTCCGACGAGATACCACCTTATCAGTGAATTAGAAACAATCAACATAATTCCACTTTCCGGCCCGCATATTGGGGCATGAATTGAATGCAAAGGTAAACAAATTAGAAGAGGAATTAGTAGCAACAAAAAAGGATAGAAGCTAGGCTTACTTTTGATACTAAACCACACTCCTTGGCTTCCTGAGCGCTTACTCGATTACTTGTCAAACATCCATAGCCATAGACTTTCCAGGTACTCGTGCCCACCTTTGAGTTCCACAGCCCTTGAAAATATATGAACAATACGAGGATATTTCCATAAAAATGATTAGGACTTACCTGGAATCGTGCCAATGTTTATTTCTAGCTGTCCAAACTGTGCTTTATCTCCAGCGTAGATGATGTCACACATCATAGCCAGCTCACAGCCTCCTACCAGGGCTTATCTGAAGAAATAGGAAATTTATTTATTGTCTATCTCTAGTTTTCATGATTTTGACCATGTTTTCATTTATGCTGCACCATGAGGTGCCTGAAATGCAATAGTAAAATATGTACAGGAATGGAAATGGAGTTAAATTGAAACAGAATTGAAACATACGAATACTATTGAAGAGAATATTCCAAACTAGCTTACTCATTCACAGCGGCATTAACTGGTTTGGAGGTTTCGCTCAAAGCTGTCCACTCTTCCAAGCCTCGGAAAGTCTGCGCAAATTCGTGGTCCACCTTTCCTTGATGTCAGCACCAGCTAAAAAATTCTCTTACCAAACTCCTAAGTAAACAACAGGCCAATTCACATTCACAAACCAATAAAAGCTTTTTGGCTTCCGGTGAAAACATTGGCGTCAACAGAATCATCACTATTGAGCTCTCGGAGTGATGTTAAAAGCTGAAAAAGGAGTATTCGTGAGATGCACCTCTATCAGATGCAAATTACAGTATTATGAATAACAACAATGTGGCGACGCGTTTTTGACATGAAAATTACATTCCAAAGCAGGAATCCAAAATGTGAAGTATCAAAAACATTCTAACGGATGCTTAAAAGTTCGATGAGAGCTATATATGAGTTTTTCGCTTGTTGGGATATTAGTTGCATTTTATGGGTTTCGGCTTCGTTGATATTTTCAACTCATTTTCAAGCATAAAGACTGCGTGATCCTTACGAATGTTTTATAACAGTGACTATTCCATGTTCATCCGGCAATAGATACAGTTGAAAAAATTTTCTCTCGACAAACATCCCTGATGTACCCACGAAAAGGATTACCTCAAAATGTTTCGAGTGCTTAAAATGAAAGAAATCAAATGTTACAAACAGCTAAGCTCTGTCATCAGAGGACCTGACTGTCACCATACAGTCCTGTGCAGTCGTATTATGAGGATAATTTGTGACGTGTCCCTATTTACAGCTCCTTGAGTATGCCAATAGGAAATTGACTGACGAAGTTTACATTGTAACACAATCACAATGCAAATCACATAACTGTGAGCAAAAAACATTGTAAACGCGAAATTTCCGATGGAAGGAAGTTTATCGTAAAACACATGTCCTAGCGCTATCTTTTATCAGGACATGCAGAAAAAGGGATGAAACGAAAGCAAGAACAAATTACAGAGCGGAATCCGCGCGTTGGCTTGTGAGGAAGATTCTGTGCAGTTTTCCGTTGAGTTTTTCTGCATTTTTAAGCAAATTATGATGTTTTGTAAGTTACTCAGGAGCAACTTACGAGAAGTTTCTCTGCGTATCATCATTGGCACACTATTTCTATCAATTGGTAGTCTAACTGAATGTGAACTGACTGAAGTAAGGTAGACTACCTCGTCAGGTAGACGGACGGTCAGCTGAAATCTCATTTAACAGTCTTACAACATGGGAAGCTGGTGATAGGCAGTCTACCTTACCGAACCTTGGATGAGGGCCTCAGTTCAGTTCACCTGAACTGAACTACCTTTACTACGGGCCATTGACTTTTCTAAACTTTTTGGTTGTGAATTATATCCTTCGTGGCTTCTTTTCTAATTTTTTTCTCAGGGTTGAGCTTATGGAATTTTGTCTTGATTTTTTAGTTCAAATAGTTTTTTCATTCATTTCATTTTCGCTTTATTTCACTGTTGCTGTTTTTTCTTTCTTTCAGGTTCTGATTCTCCGGTGCTTATTACTTGTATACTTACTTAGATGGCCCGTCCTCATGTGACGTGCGGTCTATCGTCCGTTCTTCTCATTATGTGACCGGCCCATCGGTGTTTCGCTTTCGCAACGTATTCCGCTGGGTCACGAAGACGGGACATTCTTCTCATATCCGTGCTGCGAAGTCCGACTAGATGTTGCTTGTGTTGGGTCAACTTCAGAAGACTGCGCTTGAGCGCTCTGTGGGTGGTCCTTAAAGCTTTCGACGTGGCTACAGTGTCGGCCCAAGTCTCAGCTGCGTAGTAGAGCGCTGGGAGAACGGTTAAGTGGAACAGGTGGGCACAAAGCTCCGGGTCCGTCAGTTGGTCAGTGGCTTCCTTCAGAGGCCCGAAAGCGGCCCAGGCTGCTCTTCTTCTCTCTTTAAGTTCTTCCCTCAAGTCGTTCTCTATGTTCATCGAACGTCCGAGATACACGCAAGAAGACGTCTCCATGATAGGGGTGCCTTCCAATTCCATTTCTGCACCTTCTTCATGAACTGAGTCTTCTTCCGATTTATTCGCAGTCCGATCTTCTTCCCTACTTCGTTTAGTTCCTTCAGCATCGCTTCTGCTTCAGTGATACTGCTCGAGAAAGGGACGATGGCATCCGCAAAACGAAGGTTGAATAGGAATCTTCCATCAACTCGTATGCCTCTCTCTTCCCAGTCTAGTGACTTCATCACCCACTGCAAAGCCGCGGTGAACAGCTTCGGCGAAATAGTGTCGCCTTGTCGAACCCCCTTCCCAATTGGAATGGTTAGGGGGCGATGGAATAGCTGCATCGTTGTTGTACAGTCCTTGTAGCAGTCGGCTAGTGTCCTCACGTAAACTGGTTCCACTCCTTGATCGACTAGCGCAGACAGGATGGCGTTGGTTTCAACGCTGTCAAAGGCTTTCTCGTAGTCGACGAAGGTTAGGACGAGAGGCAGTCGATACTCCCGGTAGACTTCTATGACCCTCGAAACCGTCTGGATGTGGTCCATGCGCTGAATCCTTTGCGAAATCCAGCTTGTTCTTGGGGTTGGGCTTCATCCAGTGTCCTAGATATGCGTGCGAGGATAATCTTCGTGAAGCTTGTACAGCACACTCAGCAGGCATATTGGACGGTAATTTCGAAGATCTTCCCGTTCACCCTTCTCAAAAAGAAGGAAGGTTCTTGACGTTCTCCACTGGTGGGGAACCCTCTCCTTCTGAAGATAAGATGTCAGGTGCGACGCGAGAATCTCGTGTAGACCTTGTCTTCCGGCTCGCAGAAATTCGACGGAAAGATGGTCTGGTCCTGGAGCCGTGGATGTCTTCATGGTCTGAATCGCCGTGCGCACTTCAGCAGGTAGAATTCGTGGTGGTACTTCTCCAGTGGGAACAACGGGCATCGGCACGGGTGTAGATGAGCGGAAGAGGTTGGTATAGAAGTTCTTCGCGATAGATTCCATCTTATATCGGGAAGGAAGTCGGAGTCCCGTCTTCGTTCAATAGTGCAGCCAGCGGTACGTGATATTTACAGAGCTCCCTTCGGCATTTCTTAAGACTTCGTCTTCCTTCGGCTGCTTCCAGTATCTTGGCTTGCCTGTACTTTCTGAGATCCTCCTGCATAGCTGTTCTGCAACTGGCGTTGGCTATCAGTCGCTCGAGATGGGTTGCATTCGGATCGTGCCTCAGAAATCTTCTTCTTTCGAGCAATTCCTTGGTGGTGTTCGAAATACGTTCCAAGTTCTTCTCAGAAGTCACTGAGGCACATTCTCCGCAGGCTCGCAATCCTTTCAATAGCCGATCGTAGTCGTACGTTGGGTCCTCCTCGATGGGCCAGTCACATTTTGATATGAGCTCCTCCAGCCTGTTACCGTCATAAACGACTTCCTTCGTTCTCGCGGACTGTGACAGACTTTCTTTTCCAGCCTTCGGCTGAGTCGTATCTTCGCTCGAAGGAGGCGGTGATCGGAGCCACTGCAGAAGGATGGAACTACTGAGACATCGAGCAAGCTCCACCTTCGGTTGGTGAGAATGTAGTCGATCTCCGCGTGAGTCGTTCCGTTGGGCGATTCCCATGTCCACCGGCGATGTTCTTTCTTCATGAAGATGGAATTTCCATGGAAGAGCCGTGCGGCGGAGAGAAGCCCAGCGAGACGGTTGCCGTTTTCGTTCCGGAGCCCATATCCAAACTTCACGATCCTATATTCCTTTTCTAGTGGCATCCCGATTTTCGCATTGAAGTCGCCCACAACATACTTGTAGAAAGACTTTTCGTTGCGGACGACCTCCTCCACGTCTTCGTAGAAAGCATCTAGTTCCGAGTCATCAGCTGCTGATGTTGGAGAGTCAGCTGATGATGCTGATGGTCTTCTGACGTGGAGGGCGTAGTCGTGGGATGGCTAGTCGGGGTGATAGGATCTCGTGTGAATTGACAAGATGGACGATAGATGGGTGGACGACAAAGCCAACGCTTCCAACGTTTCGTGATGGAACCTTCACACCACGAATGATGAGCGTCCCATCATTCATCTGTCTCACGTCCTTCTTCCTGGACTTCGTTTCCTGCAGAGCGATGATGTGGTACTTGATGTGCTCTGCAGCGTCGAGAAGAGCGTGGAGGTCGGTGTTTGTGGAGACTGTCCTGGCGTTGTAGGTGCAGAGCATGAGGCAATCTCCGTGGCGTGTCGTCCGGGCAGACGTGTCGTTTTTGTCCAATCCAAAAGGCACCCTGAGGACCCTGACATCAGTCTTGCTATCACCCGGCGCCGTAGGCGGGATCCGATGTGCAGGGTTTCTTTCTATTCTTCTAACTGGTAGAGTAATGAAATTTTTCCCCTACAAGAGCAAACTTACTAGGCCAACTCTTGATTTCCACAGGGCGATCGCTGACCCCGGGCTTGGAGCGGGGAGAACCGCCTAGCGACCTGAAAACCAGACGGCGGTGGATCTGGCCTGGCCGGCTCTTAGCTAGGCATCCGGCCAAAACCGGAAACGCCGAACTCCTTCACAGCTTGGGAGGCCCTGCCAGAGTATACACTCGGCTGTGCATCGCAGTTCGACACCCAGTGCCACCCCCACGCCACGATGAGGCGGCCGACCATTGTGGGGGTCCGGTGCTTATTTTGTTCTGCATATTCATTTTGGCTTTCTGATTTATTGGATCCAAAATGAAACAACTTCCCCACTATCGGTCGTCACGAGAAATCAAATTCGTCTTAACTACTCAGTTTGGCAACTTATTTTTTACTGTCCGCCTTAATATCTACCCTATAT